GTTAGGTTAGGTTATGTTATGTTAGGTTAGGTTAGCTTAGGTTGGGTTAGGTTATGTTAGGTTAGGTTAGCTTAGGTTAGGTTAGGTTATGTTATGTTAGGTTAGGTTAGCTTAGGTTGGGTTAGGTTATGTTAGGTTAGGTTAGCTTAGGTTAGGTTAGGTTATGTTATGTTAGGTTAGGTTAGCTTAGGTTGGGTTAGGTTATGTTAGGTTAGGTTAGCTTAGGTTAGGTTAGGTTATGTTATGTTAGGTTAGGTTAGCTTAGGTTGGGTTAGGTTATGTTAGGTTAGGTTAGCTTAGGTTAGGTTAGGTTATGTTATGTTAGGTTAGGTTAGCTTAGGTTGGGTTAGGTTATGTTAGGTTAGGTTAGCTTAGGTTAGGTTAGGTTATGTTATGTTAGGTTAGGTTAGCTTAGGTTGGGTTAGGTTATGTTAGGTTAGGTTAGCTTAGGTTAGGTTAGGTTATGTTATGTTAGGTTAGGTTAGCTTAGGTTGGGTTAGGTTATGTTAGGTTAGGTTAGCTTAGGTTAGGTTAGGTTATGTTATGTTAGGTTAGGTTAGCTTAGGTTGGGTTAGGTTATGTTAGGTTAGGTTAGCTTAGGTTAGGTTAGGTTATGTTATGTTAGGTTAGGTTAGCTTAGGTTGGGTTAGGTTATGTTAGGTTAGGTTAGCTTAGGTTAGGTTAGGTTATGTTATGTTAGGTTAGGTTAGCTTAGGTTGGGTTAGGTTATGTTAGGTTAGGTTAGCTTAGGTTAGGTTAGGTTATGTTATGTTAGGTTAGGTTAGCTTAGGTTGGGTTAGGTTATGTTAGGTTAGGTTAGCTTAGGTTAGGTTAGGTTATGTTATGTTAGGTTAGGTTAGCTTAGGTTGGGTTAGGTTATGTTAGGTTAGGTTAGCTTAGGTTAGGTTAGGTTATGTTATGTTAGGTTAGGTTAGCTTAGGTTGGGTTAGGTTATGTTAGGTTAGGTTAGCTTAGGTTAGGTTAGGTTATGTTATGTTAGGTTAGGTTAGCTTAGGTTGGGTTAGGTTATGTTAGGTTAGGTTAGCTTAGGTTAGGTTAGGTTATGTTATGTTAGGTTAGGTTAGCTTAGGTTGGGTTAGGTTATGTTAGGTTAGGTTAGCTTAGGTTAGGTTAGGTTATGTTATGTTAGGTTAGGTTAGCTTAGGTTGGGTTAGGTTATGTTAGGTTAGGTTAGCTTAGGTTAGGTTAGGTTATGTTATGTTAGGTTAGGTTAGCTTAGGTTGGGTTAGGTTATGTTAGGTTAGGTTAGCTTAGGTTAGGTTAGGTTATGTTATGTTAGGTTAGGTTAGCTTAGGTTGGGTTAGGTTATGTTAGGTTAGGTTAGCTTAGGTTAGGTTAGGTTATGTTATGTTAGGTTAGGTTAGCTTAGGTTGGGTTAGGTTATGTTAGGTTAGGTTAGCTTAGGTTAGGTTAGGTTATGTTATGTTAGGTTAGGTTAGCTTAGGTTGGGTTAGGTTATGTTAGGTTAGGTTAGCTTAGGTTAGGTTAGGTTATGTTATGTTAGGTTAGGTTAGCTTAGGTTGGGTTAGGTTATGTTAGGTTAGGTTAGCTTAGGTTAGGTTAGGTTATGTTATGTTAGGTTAGGTTAGCTTAGGTTGGGTTAGGTTATGTTAGGTTAGGTTAGCTTAGGTTAGGTTAGGTTATGTTATGTTAGGTTAGGTTAGCTTAGGTTGGGTTAGGTTATGTTAGGTTAGGTTAGCTTAGGTTAGGTTAGGTTATGTTATGTTAGGTTAGGTTAGCTTAGGTTGGGTTAGGTTATGTTAGGTTAGGTTAGCTTAGGTTAGGTTAGGTTATGTTATGTTAGGTTAGGTTAGCTTAGGTTGGGTTAGGTTATGTTAGGTTAGGTTAGCTTAGGTTAGGTTAGGTTATGTTATGTTAGGTTAGGTTAGCTTAGGTTGGGTTAGGTTATGTTAGGTTAGGTTAGCTTAGGTTAGGTTAGGTTATGTTATGTTAGGTTAGGTTAGCTTAGGTTGGGTTAGGTTATGTTAGGTTAGGTTAGCTTAGGTTAGGTTAGGTTATGTTATGTTAGGTTAGGTTAGCTTAGGTTGGGTTAGGTTATGTTAGGTTAGGTTAGCTTAGGTTAGGTTAGGTTATGTTATGTTAGGTTAGGTTAGCTTAGGTTGGGTTAGGTTATGTTAGGTTAGGTTAGCTTAGGTTAGGTTAGGTTATGTTATGTTAGGTTAGGTTAGCTTAGGTTGGGTTAGGTTATGTTAGGTTAGGTTAGCTTAGGTTAGGTTAGGTTATGTTATGTTAGGTTAGGTTAGCTTAGGTTGGGTTAGGTTATGTTAGGTTAGGTTAGCTTAGGTTAGGTTAGGTTATGTTATGTTAGGTTAGGTTAGCTTAGGTTGGGTTAGGTTATGTTAGGTTAGGTTAGCTTAGGTTAGGTTAGGTTATGTTATGTTAGGTTAGGTTAGCTTAGGTTGGGTTAGGTTATGTTAGGTTAGGTTAGCTTAGGTTAGGTTAGGTTATGTTATGTTAGGTTAGGTTTGCTTAGGTTGGGTTAGGTTAGGTTAGGTTAGGTTTGGCTTCTGCATGTTTTAGAACCTTGTTATGACGATGAGTAGAATACAATTTATTTATTACATTCCATAGAACCTTCATAGGCCTAAGGATATATATAGAACATGTCATGGCACAACTGTACCACTTGCTTCTAATGCTAATATTCAATCTTGGTTATAATGTCATCCAAGGGACCAGAGAAATTGTGTCGTTATAAACGAGTGCCATTCTAACCGATGAAGGGATTAAATCAAATTTCAATAAGAAATAAATAGGATCTTTTCGCACAGCAATCAAATTTACTTTAAATATAAACTAGATCTTATTTTCCATATGGATTGAATTGTGAAATTATGTAAATCAAATTACCGGCACATCAACTTTCTTCTTTTCACTCGCAGTTTGTTTTATCACATTAAAGTTGTCCTCCACACTTAACACTTTTCATTTCTCTCCAACTTCAACCATTCTGTCTGTTTGCAAAGCCTGTTTGTTACTGAAGCTACAGTACTTTTTCCGAGGGTACTGAGAGATTAGAGCACTCAAGGCCACTCAGTGTTGTTTAAAAGGGGTCTTTGTTATAGTTTTTATTATTATTATTAGTGTTCTGTCTGACGACAGGTCCATATGAACAGGATCCTTCCATCCTTTTCTCGGACTGGGACCTGTTCATATACGTTCTTGGCAGATGATCCAGAAGTGGTTTGCCATTGCCTTCTTCTGCGTGTGAATGGAGTAATTGTTGGGATGCCACGGAGGAAAACTCCGTGTTGCCTAGACCACGGCCTTGCCCAACACAAGTTATAAATTCGGGCACCGCCGGGAATCGAACCCGAGGCCCCAAGATTACAAGGCCAGCGTAGTAGAAAGTCACATTACAACTCCATGCAAAGAAGTGGGGTGAGAATGGTGTCAGATGTTGTTATAACCAAATTGGTTTATTTGTGAGACAGTAAGAAAATCATGCATTTTATGAAGATTTAATATTAGACACTACAGGCAACCGAGGTCACTATTTCCAAGTTTATCTGTATAAATTAGATTGTTATTAGAGTCAACTACAGTATTACTGCAAAAATAATTGAACGGGAAAGCATACCCACTAGTGAGACTTTTTGGTTAAGGTAGATTCTTCTATGGAGTAGGAGTTAGATAGGAG